ATGAAACAAAATAATACATTAATTAATTTATTAAAAAAAAATTAATGAAAAATTTAAAAATAATTAATTGGATTTAATAAATAAAATCTGGTATCTAATATTAGATAAATGTAAGCACAAGATAAGTAAGAAATTACTATACATAATTATCCTTACCTTAATAAAGGGACTTCGCCATAATAACAAATGCTAATTTTTTAAAGACAGAATAAAAATTTAAGATTTTTTTAAAAATAAAATTTTAACTAAATAGCATCTTTTAATAATTTATAATACTTATGGATTTATATTTTATTTTTGTAATTTTTTCAATGGCTAAATATGTTTAAAGTAAATAGTTTAGGAATTTAATAGATTTAATCGATCGTTTCGTTTAGATACTAAATAGATTTTGATGTATACACTTTATGGACTTAGTAGACTCAATTGATCATTCTGGAACAAAGTAGATAATTTAACAATAATTTATGAGTACAAAATGTAATAAAATCTTAATAAAATGTTGTTTTCTTTTGTTGATAATATATCATAAATTTAATTTTCAAATATATATGGTAAAGTTATAACAACATGCATTTTTTGTCAGCGAGATTTACCTTTAAATTGATATTTGAGTTTCACAAATTATTTATAACAAAATTGATATTTGTGGATTTGTTTCTTTTAAAAATCTTTCAAATAAAATCAATATTAAATATGAAATAACAAAAAATATATATATATAGAATAATTTTTTGGTCAATCAAACAACAAAAATATATCAAACAGCAAAAAAAAAAATATATATATATATATATATTTAGTGAAAGTAAGCACTCTGAAATGCATAGATCTATAAATTAAAAAAAGAAAAGAAAAAGATATGGAATAAAAATATATCTTCCAAAATGGATTATTAAGCACAAAATTATGATATGTTAAAATTTTAACACCATAAACTAATTTCTTCTTATACAACTTCAAGTTCCTAGTTGTCCAAAAGTACCTACCTGTTATAAACACAGTTAAAATAATTTAGGTAGATAAGTAAATATATTGGGATACAATTTAGACAAATAGCTAAATTAATTTTGACAGATAGGTAAAAATTCATTTGTGATGAATATGTTAAAACTTTATACTCAGTAGTTTGTTTTAAACAAAAACAAAACAACAAAAAATTATTCTGCGTATTTTCTTAATATCTATCCATACGAAACTGCTTAAAACGATTTTGAGCCCTTGTGATCGCAAAAAATGTTGTTTTGCTATTTTAATTGACCGAAAAATCAATCTATTCACTTTTTATTTTTTTTTTTTGGAAATTTCATATTCAATATAATCTTATTTAAAAGATCTCAAAAAGATAAATCCACAAATATTAATTTTGTTAAAAATGAATTTATAAAACTCAAGTTATGAGATTTTAAATTTTTTTAACACAAAATACATACATATAAAAGGCAAAAATGGGAAGAATTGTTCTTATTACTACATACAATAATGATTCATCCCACTAAAAACATCACCACTAATAGCACTAATGCATTAAAAAAATAAAAAAAAATACAACTCCAAGACCAAAACATCACATCATTAATGGCGAGACTCACTGTCACTTAATTAGTGGGAGCACTAATTAATGCTCCCAAACATTTTTCTTACTACATATTTGATTTACCACCGACAACCAGTTTTGTCGTGCATCATTCCCTAGTATAGCATTATGATTTTGACGTGGAAGAGAGGGATAGAGAGCAAAATAGGAGGGGTATGGGTCCACCTATTTATATCGTTCATTTTATGTCATCAAATATGAATTGAAAGTACTCAATTATTACAATGATTCATTCCACTAAAAATATCACCACTAATAGCACTAATGCATTAAAAAAGTAAAAAAAAATAAAAAAAATATAACTCCAAAACCAAAACATCACATCATTAATGACGAGACTCACTGCCACCTAATTAGTGGGAGCACTAATTAGTGCTCCCAACCATTTTTCTTACTACATATTTGATTTACCACCGACAACCAGTTTTGTCGTGCATCATTCCCTAGTATAGCATTATGATTTTGACGTGGAAGAGAGGGATAGAGAGCAAAATAGGAGGGGTATGGGTCCACCTATTTATATCGTTCATTTTATGTCATCAAATATGAATTGAAAGTACTCAATTATTACTCTTAATCATTTATCATATATATACCTATTTAAAAATAAATAAATGTTATATAATATATTAATTAATGTACTATAGATAATATAATATAATTTTTAATATTTTAGATATTTATAATTTATACAATATGTCGAATCAAAAATAATATCATAATATATATTGATATACTAATTAATATATTTATTAATGTACGTAATATCACCATTTAAAAATTCATGTTTTAATGTAGGTAATGGACAAGAATAATTTTAATATTTTATACTATGAAATTCTTATTTCGTGCAGGAATAATCTTAACCACTCTGGCAATTTCAACGTTACCAACTGAATTGCCAAATGAACAAGTTTCCGATTTTCAATTAAATGCTGGCTTTTAGCTAATACAAGTTTAGACTTTGGTTGCCATATTATTTTAACACATTATTTTATTTAAATTATAATTATCTTATTTAGATGAGAGAGGTGGTGTTGGCGATAGAAAATGGTTGTAATGTTTTAGAATTAGAGATTGAGTAGAAGAAGATGAGAGTATTATAGTATTTTTATTCTAGAATAAAATGGTATTAATGAAAATTTTCATTATGTGTGTGAACTGAAGAGAATTGGTGTGTAGAAATAGAATTACCCCATATACATGTAATATCAACCGATATTAGAATATATTGCAGAATTTGTTAGTTTATCCTCACTTATATTCTAATTAGTTCATAATATATTCTTCACTATTATAATTATGGTATTTTGATAATTATGTCACTCATAGAATTTATTAGAATATAAAAAAATAATTTAGATTAACTAAAACATAAGTAAACGAAAAGAAATTTATGAATAAGTACTCCTGTATTAGAATAACATATTCTAATATATTATTTTATTTTCACATGGAAAAAGATACGATTAATATACTTTAGATAAATGGAATAACTAGTGTGTTTTTTCTAAAGAAATTTCAAATAAATGAAAAAATTTATAAATATTAATAATTAAATTTATAAAACAATTCACTAATTTGTAAATATTTTTCATAAATCCCAGAGGTGTAATTTATCCTAAATAAATAGATATGATTATATATGATAATATTGCCGTAGATAATTTGGTTGTATTACCATAGTTAAATCTTATCCTTCACTATGCTATTGTATGCTTAAACTATCAATTCAATCCCCTTCTTCCTCTTCATTTCTGTCTCTTGCTTCTTATTTCTGTCATTTAACATGTACACATGCATATGTATGCCTCTATAATGATTGATAATATGGAAAGGGAAATTTTCATTCCAGTTATGTTCGAAAAAATATTTTTAAATTAATGATAAATTTTACATACATTAAAACGGAAATTATATAATTTTTATTATTTTGTAATTAATTTTTATTCAATACACTCACATGTTATTTCCCTTAATAAAAATGACTTCAAGATGTGCTTTCATTTAAGTAGGGTTGTACAAAAAATACCGTATAATCTGTTAAAACCATATCGATCCGCCTCAATCTACACTGACCTATCTGGTAACTGCGGATTAAATTTTAAAATTTATAATCCGCCTTCAAAATCGTTCCGTTCCACTATAATTAATACATATATTTTTTTAAACTTCTAATGAAATATTAAAGTAAAAATGAATGTAAAAAAAAGATTTAAGATGTGGAATTTGTTACAAATTAATAGTTATATATATTTAAAAATATTATGTAAATTAGTATTATATATTATGCAAATGTTTAATAATTGTTTAAAAAAATTCTTTAACTAACTAGCAAATCAAAATCGTCTCAAACCGTGAGTTGGTTATTTATCAATCCGCCATTTATAATTTGATTATAATTTTACTTTTAAACTATTCGAGCCGCACCACGCATACATTTAAGTACTCTTTTTGGCCCTATGTTGGTGAAGTACCATAAAGAGAAGGAAAATTTGACTTTTTGACATCATTTTGGGGTTGTGATTCGATTCTACGATAATTGTGGATACCCATTTTGGGTTTTTTCCCCCTTCCCCCTCAAATAATCAGATGTTCGGACTAATTTATGCGCATCACGACTAATCTTAAAAACCTAAAATTAACGACCGGACAAACCTTTAGTGATGCAAGGTTTAAAATGTTTTGGTTAACACTGTCTAGTTTGTTCTTGTAGCCTTTTTACTGTGCAATTAGGAAATACCTACAGAACAATCACATGCCTTCTAATTTCTGCAGTTATTGTGACTTGCATCAAATTATAATAAATGATTGATGCTATTCAAACAAAAAAATTTATATATAATAATGATATAATTTATTGTGAACCTGGCACGGAAGTGACTTGGAAAAAAGAAGATGAAATGAGACAAAGATACCCCAAGTTATTTCCAACTCAAGGTAACACAAGTTTGAAGGGCCAAACTCCTTAAACGGAGGAAGATTGTGACAACCCCTTCATATATTATGCTTTTAATTCTTTAATTATACATGTGCTTATGTGCTAGGTGTAAAACTCGATCAACAATCACAAATCTCAATGAAAAGAATACATATGTTCAACAACACTCATTCACACAAATATATATATATATATATATACATATATTCTCAAAATCTTAAATGAGGAATGTAACCATGATGGTGATAAAACTTAGATAATATTTAATAGCATTATGATTTTGACGTGGAAGAGAGGGATAGAGAGCAAAATAGGAGGGGTATGGGTCCACCTATTTATATCGTTCACTACAAGAAATTAAGGTTTTAAAGACAAATTTTTAGAGACAAAAATAATTTGTTTGTAAAAATTATATTTTTAAGGACAAAATGAAAGAATTTTAAAAATATATATATTTAATTATGTTATTACATTTTCTAGACAAATCTATTTGGTTGTAAAAGGATCAGTCACTTTTCCTTACAATTTTAAATGGTCCCTAATAAATCCAAATCATATCTCTACAATTTTAGTTGGTCCCTAATAAACCCAAATAATATATTATTATGTTTTATATATTAATTTTTGAACTCATAGTCGGGAACAAAAAGAAAAAAAAAAAAGTTTCATCACTCACTCTCTCTCCCTCTCCCTCTCTCTGAAATTTCTAATTTCTTTTCATTCATCTCTTCTCTATGGATTTGATATATGAATTCAATGGTTCTTCTCACGATCTCGTTGATTGCTTCTGATCTGTGGTTCATCATTGCATCTCTGTCTAGAGCTGGATCGCTCCGTTGCCGCCTCATCTCTCCTCGATTCTCCGATTTCCCGGCAAATCTCTGATAGCGATTCCGATCAGGTACCATATATTATCAACTTATTTGATAATCGACTATCATATTTATGAATCGCCTATCATGTATATTATAATCGACTTGTGAATGGGAGTTAGAAAATGAAAATGAATATGATAATCGACTATCATGTATGTATCTGTATAATCGATTTGATGTAGCAGAAGCCTCTTGGATGCTTTTAACATTCTGAGATTTGAGTGGAAAGTATCTTGGGGTTTCTATTTGCAAATTTAGATTCTCTCCATTACATGGTTTGTTGGAATTGAAGTGAATGGAGATCTCTCTATTTCAATGCATGACATATGGATGTAAAATTTGAAGTCAATTGTTTATAATTGTTTTTTTTATCCTGCTCGAATTTGCTTCGGAATGTCATAATCTCTGCAAATCAAGTGCCAAGAAGATACATTAACAGCTGAAAAGAACAATAAACAAAGATATATAACAGTGCATTTGCCTTGGGTTATATACTCGCCAATAACTTGACAATGATAGTTTTGGAGTGACAAATAAATAAGTAAAAATATAATTCAATGTTTAGCAATTTTCTATTGAAAAAGATAGAATCAGATTACAGCAAGGACACACGATAATGTAAGTTAATAACTTTACAATGAGTTACTTCAAACTTTTTAGAAATCATATAAGTTTTACATAGATGTACAACCATAGAGTCCTACAGAAGTGTCAATTCATCGGCAAAGCATTGCAAAGAACTCAACATTTCCTGCTGTCTAAGGTAACAAAATCCAAAATGTTGTAGGCCTCAATTAGACAAATCCATTACTTAAATTGAATGATGTATCTGAATTAGGTCCAGAGGTCAAATGTACTTGAAGACTAGCTGAGGACTGTGTTTATAATCAAATTCCAAGCATTCTCATCACTGCCAAAGGATATCTAGATTTTGCCACAAGGTAAGATTTTCACAAGAAAAAATAAATGTGTTGAGGAGGAAGGAGGAATTGAGCTTCCCAGCTTATTTTTTTTGCTCTGTTCTATGGCTATTCATTGTTTGTAATGCTTTGCCTGCATCAGTGACCTTGATGAAATGTGAATTCACAAAAAAAGGTCTAAAACTAGGTACTTAAGAAAGACATTTCATTTTGTCATTGAGGAAGGTACTGTAAGGCTTAAAAATCTGATGCTGCTATGGATTTCTTACATTGGTTTTTTGTTTTTTTTCTTAATTTCATCTACACAACCTTCGTAGCAGACTATGTGCAAGAGCAAGAGATGGAAGTTGAAGAATTGGAAAGCCATACTTATGAATGATTTTAAAGGTTCTTACTTTATAATATTGCATTTTGCCCCTTGGACATATGTTGTTGAACACCAAAAATCCCCCCATTTTCCTTTGATAAATTCCCGACAATTAACAAGGTGCTGTTTTTCTTTGCTTTTGTAATGCCACACTTGTAATCGGTGCTTCCAAGTTATGCTATCTCCACAGGTATATACTGTAAGTGCCATTGGCCTCTTGGTAGATTGCCAAATAATGCTATCTTCATCTAGTCAAGCTAGGCCATTGTTATAAGCTTAATAATAAACGACGACACAAGGAGTTGAAATTATAGGTTTCGTTATTGAGATATCTATGTCAGAGAGGGTAGTCTTGCATACGATTTGACATAATCAAGAAGACAGTCCACTTTTGTCTATTGTCCTCCACTATTTTACATTTTGGTCAGTAGGAGCAGACCAACTTCTTCTTTGTTACACCTCTAGCTTTTGATGAATTTGCTCGGCTTGATCAACACTTTCTAAACATTGGAATGACACAAGTGGTTTTCCACTTGCCTTTTTCAATTGCAAATTTAATTTTTGGGTAAGAAAGAAATAATTGTTCATTGCCATTATTTTTACTGCTTTTTTGGATAAGTTGTTACAAATGGCGATTTGAGAAGCATCCAACACTGACCTCTAATATACTGTATGCCTCTTTTGATCTTTACTTAATGGAAAATTGTATTAGTCCCAACAGCTAAATTCTGTAGTACTATTTTTTTTAAGAACTATCATGCTGCTACTGCATTGTGCCTATCCCATTATCTTCGTATTTGTCAGTTCAAAAGGGATTCAAGCAGCAGATCTCAAGATTTTGAGAGAAAGGCTAGAGCAAGAGGTAGTTTTTAAAGCACTTAGTGCTTTAATTTGAAATTTTCCATTTCATTTGTTTAAATATCTAGTTCAAGCACATTCCTTTTGCAACTTAACAATTCGAGATCATTGGCATGCAATAATTTTTAATTAAATTTTCTTGATATGGCACCAAATGGAATGGACAAAAGTATGACCTCTTTGAAATCTTAACTACTGAAACGACACATAGAATTGTTAGTGATCAAGGGGCGTAAATAGTAGAAAATGCTCAATTGTCCTGTTGTTTGTGTATATATTGTACTCTATACCTACGTTTATAGGATTAAATCTTTCTGCACCCGAGAAAAAGAAGATCACAGGAAGAGTTTCTGTGGTACTTAAATCTTTTCAATATTTTCTTCCCTTAGTAGCGTAAATGAATCTGATTTATATCAAAAGAAAAACAGTGAGTTTGAAGGGGTGATGGGATATTTTGGTTTTTGGTAGGAAGAGTGGCTAAATGATTAATTGTTAGTAATTGCTTTTTTGTGCTTAACACAGGGTTCGATTTTAGTTTAATCTTTGTTAACTCTTGAATTGGTAATTTATTTAAGAGTTTGGCCTATTCTATGCAGGTTATAAAAGCTTGCAGCGATTTGAAGTTTGGGAGCTCTCTGCTAGATTTTGAATGTTATTTCAACGAAGCCTTTAAGAAGAAGATGTGATGAGTTGAGTTGTTTTGTTATGTAATTTGATATAACTCCAATTACAATATGTTCATTGAATACTTGAATGCTAAAAACAATGCTTATGACACTAACCTTATAAATTGGAAATGATACTTTTGAAATCTGTGTCAGTTTATGATATATAATCAAGATATTACATACTAATGAATTAGAGTATGATATTTGTTTGTTATTAAAATATCTTTTGATTACGCCTTTTTGAATGTGATGAGTATTTTTTTTTTTTTTTTTGTGTAGTTGAATTTTAATTTGGAGATGAACAGATGATCTGGTGATATATTTGATATTTTTTGTTTGGTTGTTGAGAAATCAAGCAAGGAATATAAGTTGATGTTCAAACTAGTATTTTTAGAGTAATTGTTATAAAATCAAAAAGCTATAAAAAAAAAAAAATTATCAAACTTTTAGAGACAAATTTTAGTTGTCTTAAAAAAATTATAACCTTTACACACCCCATTCATTTGTCTCAAAAACTAGAACTTTTAGAGACCACTTTCATTTGTCTCAAAACCTATACTTTTATAGACCAATTTTTGTTGTCTCAAAACTTAATTTTGTTGTCCCCATACCTACTCCTCTTTCGGGGATTGTAATCAGACTTTTAGAGACAAATTTTAGTTGTCTCAAAATCAAAACTTTTTGTAACCATATATTTTTGTCTCTAAAAGTCTATTTATAGTGACAAATGTAAAATTTTGTCTCTAAAAGTCATTTTTTGACTTTTCCGGACGGGCCATTTGGGACAAACTTCGCAACGAAGGAAATTAGTTGGCTAAAATTTTTCCCAACAAATATTATACTTTTAGGGACGAAATAAATTTGTCCCTAAAAAGCTGATTTCTTGTAGTGGTTCATTTTATGTCATCAAATATGCATTGAAAGTACTCAATTATTACTCTTAATCATTTATCATATACATACTTATTTAAAAATAAATAAATGTTATATAATATATTAATTAATGTACTAATAGATAATATGATATAATTTTTAATATTTTAGATATTTATAATTTATATAATATGTTGAATCAAAAATAATATCATAATATATATTGATATACTAATTAATATATTAATTAATGTACGTAATATCACCATTTAAAAATTCATGTTTTAATGTAGGTAATGGACAAGAATAATTTTAATATTTTATACTATGAAATTCTTATTTCGTGCAGGAATAATCTTAACCACTCTGGCAATTTCAACGTTACCAACTGAATTGCCAAATGAACAAGTTTCCGATTTTCAATTAAATGCTGGCTTTTAGCTAATACAAGTTTAGACTTGGTTGCCATATTATTTTAACACATTATTTTATTTAAATTATAATTATCTTATTTAGATGAGAGAGGTGGTGTTGGTGATAGAAAATGATTGTAATGTTTTGAAATTAGAGATTGAGTAGAAGAAGATGAGAGTATTATAATATTTTTATTCTAGAACAAAATTGTATTAATAAAAATTTTCATTAAGTATGTGAACTGAAGAGAATTGGTGTGTAGAAATAGAATTACCCCATATACATGTAATATCAACCGATATTAGAATATATTGCAGATTGTATTAATAAAAATTTTCATTAAGTGTGTGAACTGAAGAGAATTGGTGTGTAGAAATAGAATTACCCTATATACATGTAATATCAACCGATATTAGAATATATTGCAGAAATTGTTAGTTTATCCTCACTTGTATTCTAATTAGTTCATAATATATTTTTCACTATTATAATTATGGTATTTTGATAATTATGTCACTCATACAATTTATTAGAATATAAAAAAATAATTTAGATTAACTAAAACATAAGTAAACGAAAAGAAATTTATGAATAAGTACTCCTATATTAGAATAACATATTCTAATATATTATTGTATTTTCACATGGAAAAAGATACGATTAATATACTTTAGATAAATGGAATAACTAGTGTGTTTTTTCTAAAGAAATTTCAAATAAATGAAAAAATTTATAAATATTAATAATTAAATTTATAAAACAATTAATGTACTAATAGATAATAGAAAATGGTTGTAATGTTTTAGAATTAGAGATTGAATAGAAGAAGATGAGAGTATTATAGTATTTTTATTCTAGAATAAAATGGTATTAAATAAAATTTTCATTATGTGTGTGAACTGAAGAGAATTGGTGTGTAGAAATAGAATTACCCCATATACATGTAATATCAACCAATATTAGAATATATTGCAGAATTTGTTAGTTTATCCTCACTTGTATTCTAATTAGTTCATAATATATTCTTTACTATTATAATTATGGTATTTTGATAGTTATGTCACTCATAGAATTTATTAGAATATAAAAAAATAATTTAGATTAACTGAAACATAAGCAAACGAAAAGAAATTTATGAATGAGTACTCCTATATTAAAATAACATATTCTAATATATTATTGTATTTTCACATGGAAAAAGATACGATTAATATACTTTAGATAAATGGAATAACTAGTGTGTTTTTTCTAAAGAAATTTCAAATAAATGAAAAAATTTATAAATATTAATAATTAAATTTATAAAACAATTCACTAATTTGTAAATATTTTTCATAAATCCCAGAGGTGTAATTTATCCTAAATAAATAGATATGATTATATATGATAATATTGCCGTAGATAATTTGGTTGTATTACCATAGTTAAATCTTATCCTTCACTATGCTATTGTATGCTTAAACTATCAATTCAATCCCCTTCTTCGTCTTCATTTCTGTCTCTTGCTTCTTATTTCTGTCATTTAACATGTACACATGCATATGTATGCCTCTATAATGATTGATAATATAGAAAGGAAAATTTTCATTCCAGTTATGTTCGAAAAAATATTTTTAAATTAATGATAAATTTTACATACATTAAAACGGAAATTATATAATTTTTATTATTTTGTAATTAATTTTTATTCAATACACTCACATGTTATTTCCCTTAATAAAAATGACTTCAAGATGTGCTTTCATTTAAGTAGGGTTGTACAAAAAATACCGTATAATCTGTTAAAACCATATCGATCCGCCTCAATCTACACTGACCTATCTGGTAACTGCGGATTAAATTTTAAAATTTATAATCCGCCTTCAAAATCGTTCCGTTCCACTATAATTAATACATATATTTTTTTAAACTTCTAATGAAATATTAAAGTAAAAATGAATGTAAAAAAAAGATTTAAGATGTGGAATTTGTTACAAATTAATAGTTATATATATTTAAAAATATTATGTAAATTAGTATTATATATTATGCAAATGTTTAATAATTGTTTAAAAAAATTCTTTAACTAACTAGCAAATCAAAATCGTCTCAAACCGTGAGTTGGTTATTTATCAATCCGCCATTTATAATTTGATTATAATTTTACTTTTAAACTATTCGAGCCGCACCACGCATACATTTAAGTACTCTTTTTGGCCCTATGTTGGTGAAGTACCATAAAGAGAAGGAAAATTTGACTTTTTGACATCATTTTGGGGTTGTGATTCGATTCTACGATAATTGTGGATACCCATTTTGGGTTTTTTCCCCCTTCCCCCTCAAATAATCAGATGTTCGGACTAATTTATGCGCATCACGACTAATCTTAAAAACCTAAAATTAACGACCGGACAAACCTTTAGTGATGCAAGGTTTAAAATGTTTTGGTTAACACTGTCTAGTTTGTTCTTGTAGCCTTTTTACTGTGCAATTAGGAAATACCTACAGAACAATCACATGCCTTCTAATTTCTGCAGTTATTGTGACTTGCATCAAATTATAATAAATGATTGATGCTATTCAAACAAAAAAATTTATATATAATAATGATATAATTTATTGTGAACCTGGCACGGAAGTGACTTGGAAAAAAGAAGATGAAATGAGACAAAGATACCCCAAGTTATTTCCAACTCAAGGTAACACAAGTTTGAAGGGCCAAACTCCTTAAACGGAGGAAGATTGTGACAACCCCTTCATATATTATGCTTTTAATTCTTTAATTATACATGTGCTTATGTGCTAGGTGTGAGTTTGAATATTAATTATGAGATTAATGTGGTCTTGACTTCATATTTGTTGATTATAGGAATATCTATTATGATTTCTATTTTAATCTGAAATTGAAGGCCTTAATGGCTTCAGAAACCGAAATTGGTTAGTTTATTGAGATCTACATATTTTTAGAACCTAATGGGTAGTTTGATTAAAATTTGATTTAGTATAAATTAATTAGAATAAAATCAATTATATAACGATTCTGGTTTAGGCTTGACCCATTTACTTGACTTTGAATCTGAGACCCCGTGAAACGACTGAGAATGTTGCACTTATCCGTAAGTGGTTGGCTTCGGCTTAGAGTCGCCAAAAGAGCTATGCCGACCATAGGAGACCTTTGTCTTTTGAGATTGGAGATCACGTGCTCCTGAAGATATCACCGAGATGGGGTTTAATGAGGTTTGGCAAGAGAAGGAAGTTGTCTCTTAGATTAATTGGGCCTTTTGAGATTCTAGAGCGAATCGGGGAAGTAGCTTATCGTTTGGCCTTGTCATCCCAACTTTCTGAGGTTCATGACGTGTTTCATATCTGTATGCTCTGGAAGTACAAGCTTGATCATTTATACATGTTGGATTGGGTCGAGTTAGTGGTGGATGACGATGCCCCATATGAGGAGAGATCGGTATGAGTTTTAGACTCTCAGGACCAAGTCTTGCGAGACAAGACTATTCCATTGGTTAAGGTATTGTGGCGGCACCACAGGGTTGAGGAGGTAACTTGGGAGCGTGAGGCAGAAGTCTATGAGAAGTATCCGAACTTATTTGTTGATATTTGAACATGTAATGGAATTTTATTATGTTAATGAAATATGAAAACATTGTATATGTTGTGGATATATAGGAACATTGTATGTATTGTGTATGTTTTGGAAATATGAATTTAATATAAACATTGTAAATGTTTTGGAAAATGTGGATTTTACTTTCAATATTGGAACTTATGTATCGAGATGACGAAAATGGATGATCGAAGAATAAATCATGGTATTGGAATTGATTATCTATCGTTATTGTGTTTGGTTTAAAGATAACTGTAAAACTT